AGGGCCTGGTTCAGGGTCCCGAAAGGGCCTGAGTCACGGTCCTAAAAAGGCCCGACTTTTTGCATATTTTGGTTTTTACACTCGAAAATCTTAACGCGAAAATTTCAAAATTATGCGAAATTACGCGGAAAATGCTAGATTATGCGGAAATATGCAGAAAATTACAAAATATGCAGAAATGTGCGGAAAACAATAAATTATGCGGAAATTTGCGGAAAACGGTAAATTGTGCGATCCCGCACCCATCGCACCTAATATGTGCCTCTGGGAGGGGGAAAGAGGTCCAACGCCAACCGATTCCCCAGCAACTGAACCCCACGGAGCTACCATGCCACCCCGCAACTCGAGCTGTTCCGGGACTGCACCCGCCCATCCCATACCCGTACATGATGGCACCACAGTGGTTCAGCCAGAACTTTCCACCATTGTCCTCTTAAATGGACAGAGCGTATCTCCGGCAGCTACTAGCAGCTCTAGATGGAAACTACCCTACATCCAGGAAACCATCATCGAAGGAAGTAGCTGCCCCCCACCATTCATAGCCATAACCGAGTCATGGCTAAAGAGTTACATCTCTGACGCTCAGGTGCAGATAAAAGACTATCAATCGTTCAGATCAGATAGACCAGAGAGAGTAGGAGGAGGTTGCCTCCTCTATGTTCATGACCAGCTAGTGGTAACAGAAACCGATCACTACGAGGATAGAAGCAATAACATGGTCATGTGCTATGTTAAGTCATGCAACACCCTTTTTGCTACTGTCTACAGGCCCCCTGGAGCAGATACTTCAGGCTGGAAGAACTTACTAGACAGACTGCAAGCCAAAATAGACGCGATCTCAGAAAATACAACGGTGCCAGACATATACGTTGTTGGAGATTTCAACTATCCAGAGATAGACTGGGAACATGGAGGCTCAAGAAGTGAAGCCAGGTGTCTTGATTTTATAGAGTTTATAGACCGTAACTTTCTAACACAGGTCGTAAACCAGTCAACAAGAGAAGGTAGCACCCTAGATCTTGTACTTACAAATGTTCCTAGGTATGTCGCAGAAGTAAAGGTGAACCCCACATCTTTATCAGACCACAGCTTGGTCGAAATTCAGCTTGGTTTTAATATGACTGGAAGAAAGAAGAACGAAACCAGCAAGATCGACCCAAACTCTTACAGGGCAGTTGACTATCACAAAGCCGATTTTGTGGCAATCAGTGATTGCCTTCAGAAAGTCGACTGGCTGAAGCTCTGGGAACTCTGTGACGAGGACTTGAACGCTTTTCTGGAATTGTTCAAGCTAACAGTGCTCCAGATTACCTTGGAGTTCTCCCCAAAGAAAGAGAGTGCAGCGGAGATTACCTCAAGAAAGAGAAGAGGGAATAAGCACGTTTATGTCATGAGAAGAAGACGAAGGAAAATGAATGCTAGGATACGTGCATTACAGGAAATGAATCCTAGCTCGAGTTTAATCCCTAAACTGAAAACGGAGGTTTCACTGTTGTGTTACTCCATACAGGAAGGGACCCTTGAGAAACTGAACAAAAAAGAACTCCGGGCAGTCGATGCAATAAAGAAGAACCCCAAATACTTCTTTTCGTATGCCAAGCGTCTCCAGAAGACCAGATCTACAATCCCGGTGTTGAGAGATGAGACTGGGGCACTAGTGGACGACCCCAGTATCAAGGCAGAGTTACTTCAGAAACAGTACCAGAAGGTATTTAGTAACCCTATGAGTGCCGATATTGATGAATGTATGAAGAGCCAAGGATTACCTCAGGGACTGGATTCCGGATTCAACGAGCTAAGCTTCACAAGAAAAGATATCATTGAAGCATTAGGAGAACTGGATCCCTATTCGGCCGCACCTGACGGAGAGATTCCTGCTAGGATACTCACAGCTTGCAAAGAACAACTTGCAGACCCGCTAACACTCCTCTGGCAGGAATCGTTCAGCAGTGGGTATATACCAGCGGAACTAAAGACCCAATATATCACCCCTATCTATAAGAAGGGGGACAGAACGGACCCAGCAAACTATAGACCAGTGTCTTTAACCTCGCACATCATAAAGACATTTGAGCGTGTAATCAGAAAAAACCTGGTTCGTCATTTGGAAGAGAACATGATGATCAATACGAACCAGCATGGGTTCAGAAAAAAGAGGAGTTGCATGACGCAGCTTCTCAGTCACATCGAACAGATCTACAAATCACTCAACAATGATGAAGAAGTTGATGTGATTTACCTCGACTTTGCCAAAGCTTTTGACAAGGTCGACCATGCAGTGCTGCTAGCCAAGCTTGGTCGATACGGAATTGGTGGTCAGGCTTTAAGGTGGATCAAAGAGTTTTTGCTAAACAGAAAACAAACAGTCGTTGTTGAAGGTCGCAAATCATCCTTCCAGCCAGTGGCAAGTGGGGTGCCACAAGGGACAGTCCTAGGACCGATCCTATTTATCCTGTACATCAACGATCTGTTGAACAGCATTAGCTATAGTAACGGATTCAGCTTTGCAGACGACACAAAGCTGATTGGGGCTATCCGAGGAATAAGTAGTGTGGAGTTACTGCAAGATGATCTCAACATAGTCATCGAGTGGTCACGTGTTAACAACATGGAGCTACACGAACAGAAGTTTGAGGTTGTAAACTACCCCCTGAATGGATCAAAAGCTCTAAGAGAGCTCCCGTTCTACCCAGAGACTGTTGAGTATACTACGCCAAAAGGACACGCAATATCACCACAGGAAACTGTCAGAGACCTTGGAGTGTATGTTAGCAGCAGTAGGTCATGGGGTCCTCACATTGAGAAGACAGTTCAAGGAGCTAGAAAAATGGCGGCTTGGACATTGAGTGCCTTTAGAGACCGGTCACAAGTAGTCATGCTGACTTTATACAAAAGCATGGTTCGCTCCAAGCTAAAGTACTGCTGTCCAGTCTGGAACCCTACAAAAGTCACAGAGATACAAAAGCTGGAGACTGTACAGAGATCCTTTACTAGAAAGATATCTGGCTGCCGTGATCTCCAGTACTGGGACAGGCTGAAGAAGCTTAAGTTGATGTCCCTGCAGAGGCGGAGAGAGCGTTATTCTATTATTCATGTATGGAAAATTCTTAATGAACATGCTCCGAACGATACGGGCTTCGAGTTCAAGTCTCATCAAAGGCATGGTATTAAGGCAGAGATCCCAGCCATGAACAAAAACGCACAGTTGTCGGTAAGAACAGATTACGACAACAGCTTTAGAGTTAGAGCAGCTCAGCTCTTTAACGTGCTCCCATCGGAGCTCCGGAGTATCACATTGCTAGACAGTTTCAAAGTTGGTCTAGGCAGATTTATGGAACAGTACCCAGACACACCACCGGTTCCGGGATACACTCCGACAAACGATAACTCAATGCTGAGCTGGAGGAGGACGCACTCGATGCCGTTGTCCTGAGCACGCCCTGCCAAACTCACCAAAACGTACCAAAACGTAACGTACGTAAAAATATGTAATAATCGAATTAAAAAGCAATGTTTTCAATGGAGCTTACTGAATCTGTGTATTACTCATCGACTTTTGAGAAAATGAAACCAGAAATTTCATCATTTCCAAATAGACTAGGCATGACCTTCATATCAAGCTAAAGAGCTGAGAATTCCCATACACGGCAATATCTATCATAATTATAGGTCCTCACTCCTCACGATGTAAAGTTGACTTTACTCGCTAAATATATTTAGTCAAAAGTACAGAATAATAGGTTCCACCAACGACCGGCAAATGTATAACTTTAAGGCAGGTGCGGGGACTGCGGGGCCATGGCAGCACAAGGTGAAAAAAGAAAACTTAACAGCACTGCACTGCATCCAGGGTATAATAATAAAATATCAAAACACTCCAATCTGTCTCTCTCTCTCTCTCTCTCTCTCTCTCTCTCTCTCTCTCTCTCTGTGACGCAAGAGATGACGAAGAGAGAAAAGAGGGTAAAACGAGCGGTAAATTGTAAAATAGCAACACAAACAAAAAAATCGTAACACTTAGCAGACACAGACGACGGTGATCCAAATAGTTGGTGATATGTAAACCGATCAAAGCGATAACGATAATCGGCGCAATTGGTAAACAGGCATACTTTATTAGCGGGAAAAGGATCAAAGTGTGACGTGGTACGGAAGGTAACAAAGTGGCGGGTCTAAAAGCACGTTTTGGGAAGCAAAGGGGGCTAGGGGCTGGCTGTGGGGCAGAACGATCAATAAGCAGTTTTATGAGGATTACAAAGTAATGGGGAGATTGTTTGGGTTGTGTAGTGGCAGGGTATTGTGCGTTTTAATGTTAACGGCTTAACCGTGCTGTCGTTTTACGATTATTCTGATTGGCACTGATTACCGATTATCGATGGAACGATATATTCTGGGAAATGTTGGGGAATGTTGTTATCTTTGCATCTTTGTTAACTATGGATATATTGAGCATTACTTTTATTTTATTTACTTATGTAATATGTATGTGATATTGTGATGCTTCTCAGCAGTGTCAGCGACAAATTTAAACTATCAGAACACTGAATGATAAGTACTTTCGGAATTATGATTCTGAGTACTGAAATTAATCAAATGTTATAAAAACATGGGTTAATTTATCAGGATTTTAGATTCTGAGTTTGGGTCATGATCCTCGATGTCTAGCCAAGTAATGCCAAGGACAAATCAAACAAATTGATAAAACTGGAACTTTTCTACACGTCGACCCTTATCGAATCTGGTTGGTGAGCGTTCGATCAAATTATATTACATTAAATTCCCCCAAATAGCCCAGGCATAGTGAAACTTTTTCATTTGTCTAAAATCTGTAGCCCCTCCCCCTTTTCATACGCCCCATAACTCTCTACAGAGCCATTCATGAGATTAAGAACTCAACGCTCACACTCCATTTACCTTGTCAAGTTTCTTCACCACAGAATGTAACGTTATTCACCAACCTATCTTTATTGACAAGCACCTAAATTTAATTGCATCCTAACCTGTTGATGTAGTTTGAGGTCTAGGTGCTGCAGCTTCAGTGGTGCTGGTCTGTTTGCCGGTCAGGGCCCGGTATGTAGCGTTATCTAGTTGTATGTAAGTTGTTTGTCCGCTCTGCTGTAACTGGATCGGGAATCCTCGTGAGGTGCCACCCGAACTCGCTGAAATATTGGACATTTTGTCATCATATGGGTTCTATTCCTTTTCCGAGCGAGGATCGCCAAAAAACTGGTGTTAATGACGCATGACCCTTACTGTATCTTCAATTTTTTAGCAATAAATATTTTAAAGTGCTATTTTCGGACCTTACCGTATGCTTACCGTATGGGTTCTTAACAATGGCAAATGTGAACGACTATTATTATATCTGAATTAATTGAGTTTATCAACCTCTTTTTCGCCGATACTTATGAAATTATTTTTTCCAACAATATCAAGACTTAGTTTCATTGAATTAACAGCCCATTTTCGTCTGCGATATCTAAAGGAAATTCACAGATCTCGTGGAGCCACACAGTAGCATTTTCCTTCTAAATAAGGTACTAATTCTTATGACGTGGGTAAAACGTAGAACCACAAATGACAAAAGATAGAGGTAGACATTTGGTGATTAAACTTGGTAACAACCGACCCAGTTTCAGTATTTTAATAGCCCGTCTCATGTTCATTACTCGGACGTGCCCCCAATAAAAGTACATGTTCCAGTGAATAGAGCCACCAAATCGCGTTTGGTAGGGTAAAAATGTTGTGCTCGTGTTACATAATAAACTAATTTCAGAACATTTAACTGCCAGATTGGGAGCTGTTGTAATGGTATGAGGTTGATGGAATGGAGTGGCCCAACTTTAACTATGACACCACGACCTCATTACAGATGGTCTTTGTCTTAAGTCTTCAAGACAGGACAATAATAGTGGACTGATCGTGAACTAACACGACTTTAAAGTGCTGCCAACTACAATTCTTCCACCAAAAACAAGTGACCAAATGTCTAAAAACTGCCACACAAACACTCACATGAAAACTTGACATCAGGCTGCTGTAGAAGTATAGAAATGCTACTTACGCTTACCGATGTGTAGAGTTTGACCATTTCTTCCCTTGATAGGACGAAGTATTGCGACGTGGGGCCGAGTTGTCCCACTTGTTGTCGTACTTGTTCTCACGTTTTGTCCTCCCGAACTGGAGATCTGAGAGAAGGAGGAGGGTAATTTAGGTGATTAGTGGGGTAACGAGGTTATTAGAGGGGGTAATTAGGGGGTAATTAGACTTCTTTACGTGTTCAATTGTCCAAATATAATTTTAGGTTGCGGAATGCAGATGGTTAGGTAAAAGGTATGATACTTTAGATGAGTTGGTTTCCTTGGCTTGTAACCAACTAAAATAGCCTTGAAAGATTTAATCTGTGGTTCCCGTATTAAGTCCCTTGCCACCCCCGCCCGTACCCCCCTCTTGCCCCAAACTTCCAACCTCTTGTTTGCTGAAGGTGCGGTGAGGCTGATGATAAGGGTGGTAAATGTGCTGTGATCGGTGTGATTTAACAGCGGTATTCCGTGGTGGTGGTATATGTCTTGCTAGGAAACAAGTAGCGGGTGTTGGAGTGGGTGGCAGTGTCACAGTTGGTGGCAGTGTCACAGTGGGTGTGACACCCAGTGTGACAGGTGTGATGTTGAGTGTAACAGGTGTGACAGTGGGTGTTACAGTTGGGGTGACAGCTGAAGATGGGTTGTAAGGAGTGAATCCTCTGCGGGGTGATGGTGGTTTGATAGAGATGGCGGGTATTTTTCCCGAGTTGGAGTCCTCCTGAAACGGAAGTATCATTTACAACCGGAGTTCACAATTCAATAATAATATTAATACACATGACACCACAAAGTTTGCAAATCAGCTGTTAAATTTCTTATTTGATGACGTCGCCTACTCTCACTTTGTATTATTATAGTTCAGGTTTACGCTTGAGCGAGCCGGTCAACAGACACCGTCAACCGCGGTAACGGGGTCCGCAAATTACACAATATTTCCTGCGCCAGGTTTATCTTCCGATCGGTAATTTGTTTTATGAGATTTGTTACAAGTGTTGTGTGGAGATGATGATGAGGATTAAAAGAGTGAAATAAACACAAATACAGCCGGTGATGTAGGAGTGAATTAGAAGAGACAAACTTCTCCTTCTTCCCTTTCACTGCCTACTGTAATCGGCGAATAACGGGCGAAGTCATTAAGTTTGACCACTAAAAGGTAAGGGGACAATTAAAAGGCTTTAGTGTCTTGGATCAGCAACGCATTTAAGTGACCTTGTCACAGGTGATTTAGAGCGGCTGTGTTGGGAATATATCCGCATTCGATGCGAATTCCTGGATTTCATCAGCAATGATATATTCCAAAGAGAAAGGTATTCCCATATCCAAAAACCCGCATTCTCGCATTCTAAGAATGTAGGAAATTTTTAAAAGTAGGAAATTTTTGACAAAAAGTAGGAAATTCGAGAGCCAACTCTGAGAATTTTCGATAATATTTCAGTAGGAATTTAAGTGAAAGAGCAGACTAAAAGTTGCTGGACCGTTATTTAAATGTCCTCAGTCAGGGATCCACTGATCCAGTCTATCAAATTTCGTTTCACAGACCAAAGTTTGTTGCTATTAGCTACAAAATCTGTGCATCAAGTAACCACTAACCAGATGCTAATTATTGGGGCATTTTCGCGTACACGACATAAATAGTTGTCATTATTACTTTATTAACATTTTACTATCTACTTATCTAGTCTATGAAACCGAATATGTCTACAGTGTCACCCGATATCTGTATTGGCAAGCAGTAGCATATACACATCACGTCTTCAATGTGTGTATCACACTGCACACACCCAGCCCAAATTTGTGTGGCGTGAGAAAATATCAGAAAAACAGGGCGTTTTAACTAATCTGTACGATGATGCTAGAATGGGCGTGAGAATTGGACTTTTTCTAGTTTTTTAATTAGTCGCTCTGCCCGCTTGCTTTTGTTGCTTACATTGGGTTGTTGAACTTCCTATTAATCATGAATCGTCCAAAGTTCAAGTCTAAATCCGAGGTCTAATGCGGTATATGCAAAGAAGTTTGTACTCGAGCCGATAATCTAAAAGTTCATTTTAAGAGGTGTCACCCAGGGCATCAGCCCTATGAATTCATACCGAATCAACCTAAGTTGAGGTAGCTATCACATTAAGACATTAATCGGGTGGAAATCATTTTTGCATGAATTATCTTTATATGCTCCTGATCCTAGTTAGGTATCACTTTGCTAAATATACATATCTTGGATTGATCTTGACTCAGAATTTATAAAACTGATCAAGAGCTTTAAGTATGAGCAAAATTTACAATCCCGTATTTATCGTTAAAACATCGCATGTAACAGTTTTCAGAAAGCTGCTACGAGAATGGCAAGAAACCACTCTTTTCTAAAAACCACCCATGGGGGGATGGGGGCGGCTATAAAAACTTCTGCAAATCCCAATATCGACTATCATTCCAGTTTTGATAATAGCATTATCAATCATGTAATGTTGTGAACGGTCATCAATGCAATTGTAATAACTTTATGTCAGGAGTTCAAAGAACATTATATAGTATTATATTATGAGTTGATGTAATACGTCTAAACATGCATAATGCATAATCATTCTTTGTTGCGTTTCCTATCTTATTTAAATAGTAAATACTAATAGTCATTATTATATTTTTGGAAAATTTAAATTCCTTGTTTCTTGAATATTTGGTCTCATACTTGCTTCCTTCTCCAAATTCCCTTAACCCTGTATTAGTTTATAGCTTGAAAGCAGAAAGTGATGGTAGTAGATGAGAAAACATTTTTGCCAAAATTATAAACTTTTGATACTTCATGCTGTCTCCTATTTCGTGCTTTAGTTCAGCCAAGTGTTTAGGGATTCTAGAATCCAGACAATTTATCCCAATAAAAATTGAAATCAGAAAATAGTATGCTAAAATCGTTCTCCATTGTCAGATTCGTTCCAGGAGGCCAAATCTAGTTTAAATTTCCAAAATTTTCGGGGGCTTCGCCCCCAAAAGTAACCTAGGATTATCTATTAAAAAGCATTCCGGGCCCTAAAAAAGTAAAATTGAGAATCTGGAATCCGCCATGAAAAATCTTTGAACCGCGCGAATACAAACATTTTTTAGGCGAGCGAAGCGAGCGGGCCACAGAAAACGAAAAAATTGAGAATGTAGGAAATTAAAAAATTTTTGGATATGGGAAGGTATTTCTCAAGAACTTTCCATACAGTCTATGAGATATTAACGACAAAATTCTTACCTTCTCAATCTTAACTCTAGGTTTCGGATCCTCAGCAGGAGAACAAGTCATAGCAAAACAGAAGCGAGATAAACAGAGACTAGGAGAGTTTTAAACAGATTTAAACAGGGCACTGAAAATAATGACTGTCCAGTGTCCTGATACAAGGTTATAACTGGGTGGAGATAATGTTACACAAGGGCGGAGTACCGGATCATATTATTATTGCGAGAGAGAAAGAGAGTTGGAGCAGCTGAAAAAAGAGTACAACTAGTTCCAAATAATGAGCTCTCTCCATGTTATACTGGGGGGTCACCACACTGTGTGCCATGTTACTGCTAATTTGCAGTCGGATAACTGTTACCATGACAACTATTGCAAGAAGCAGCTGTTTTGTCAGTCGCGTCGTCATGGTGATGAGGATGAGAAAAAGAAATGATTAATGATGGCCACATGTTTGGACCCCCTGGATTGATCCGGAGAGAGAGAGAGAGGGAGAGAGAGGATGTGTCCAGTGTGCAGGTGTGACGTGAGGAACGTGTAAATATGTGTATGTGTGTGGAGACACCTGCATGTTAAGATTTTAAACGCTACACGACCTCTCAAACATACTGTCAAAACGTTTAGTCGCAAGTTGGGGGAATTAGTCGCGTGACAAGCGACAGTTACAATTACCTTATGTTGATGAGTCACGCAATTTCCAAAACATTTAAAAAATTAAATTGGCCATGTTTTGAGGGAAATTAGCAGATTATAACTTTTTCAAAAAAGAAGTGGGTGTGACTGACGGAAAGGACGGTAACGCAAGCGGATTATATCGGGAAATAACCACGTGACACTACGGCTGGGTAATCCAACCATCACGAGCAGGAAAACCAACGAAATGAAACTTACCAGCTCGGTAACGACATTTAAATGTTCAGCCATCTAACACTTGGATACGGTAGCCAGGGGATAAAACTGTAGCCCTAGTAACTAAATGAACAACAAATGTATACTATATTTATCGCTCTGGATACGCTGCAAGAGGTCAGGTCGGTCCAGACCTTGAAACGCAGTAGCCCGCGGAACCAACCAATCCGGACAATTATTACAGAAGATCGGACCAATCAGGAGCCAGGAAATGCACCACGTGACCTACTGGTCCATTTTCAGAGCTAATAGTAATAGTACAACTCTAATGATATAATGGGAATACAGCTAGAGCTGTTTTTAAATAACTATCCTTTAATTATTACCATTGATTTCTTCAGAACTTCTCTCTGGATCAGTTAGTTAACTCACATTTTAATCCAGACGAATAATTGCACTTTACCCCGTTCAAAAGAGATCAGACTCCAGTTAAATTCTCCGTCAGAGTATCTGCTTTATACCAGCCAGTACGGAGGAGCACAAGCCAGTACAGTAAGCAGGCTTACAGTAAGCACTTATCAATTGGCTAATCGGCACGAGAGACATCGGAAATTTACCTTCCTGAGTAGTGGTTATAGAAGGGAGGAGTGAGTATTGTATGGAGTTTAAGCAGAAAGGGAGGGAGAGAGAGAGAGAGAGAGAGAGAGAGAGAGAGAGAGAGAGAGAGAGAGAGAGAGAGAGAGAGAGAGAGAGAGAGAGAGAGAGAGAGAGAGATAGAGAGAGATCAGAGAGAGAAAGAGAGAGAGAGAGAGAGAGAGAGAGAGAGAGAGAGAGAGAGAGAGAGAGAGAGAGAGAGAGAGAGAGAGAGAGAGAGAGAGAGAGAGAGAGAGAGAGAGAGAGAGAGAGAGAGAGAGAGAGAGAGAGAGAGAGAGAGAGAGAGAGAGAGAGAGAGAGAGAGAGAGAGAGGGGGGGTGAGCAAATGTTGGGCATTTAGAAGGAGCGTTTTAGAGGGACGTAGAGGGACTATTGGTTTTATAGGTAGTCGGTGTGGGTTTAAAGGGTCGACCTTTGTAAAGATTGACGATGGCAATGATAAGAGGAAGCAGCATGAGAGTAACGAGATAAATCCGATGAGATGAGATGGAATGATAGCAATCATTATCATTTCAGAGGTACAATACAGTGAAGATAGAAAATACATGGCATGAATAAGATCTTCCGTACGGTTCATCTCTTATTTATTACAACATTATTATCGGTTCCAACAATGGTCACGTGATCGCATTGTTTAAATTTCCAAGGAACCAACATTCTCTCCTCAGAGGAAAAGTAGGCTCGTTATGTTTAGAGTTCGACAATGACTTGCTTAAAGTTGAGTAACAAAACCTGACCATGCGATGCAGAGCCTTCCACTTTAGTTAGTGTAACGTGTAATAGGCTGTGATGTAGGCTTTTATATACCTCATCAGGATCCATACTGGACCATCATCATCAGGATCCATCTAACCAATTTAAAATTCAAACAGAATAATATTTCGTTGGTTCACTCATCGGCCATCATCTGATCTGGTCAGTATTATCATATATCCAAGATGTTAAAGGTATTATGTTGAACATGTTACAGTTCTTATAATCATGAAGTGCTAAATGGGCGGAGTGGGTTGTGATCAGGGGAGACAGTGTGCGTGGTAGGAACTGTGTTGGAACAGACAAAGAGGAGCCCCGTGAAACTCATCTTTTTAAATTTTAGGGCTCAATTAATGCCCCACCTCCCTCCTCGTGGATTTAATATGTATATATGATCCACTAATTTACAGTCTAAGGAAATTGGAAGATAAGCACACCGAAATTGAAATATTCATTAAAATTATGTGGGTCTCCAGCTCGAGCTCAATCGACAACATGAACGCCGCGCCCAACAATTTTATTCACACTCGCAGTTTTTTAGTGACCACAATTAAGCCCGAATATTTGTTTACATGGTGGTTGATAACAACATTCCGCAATGTGCATTATTATAGGTCCCGACAATAATCAAAAGATGATCAATTTTTAAGATGTTGGGAAAATATTCAGAGCTAGCAGTCCGATTCATTTAATATAATGAAAGGTCTCTTCAGAGACTTGTATGCTGACGGACGTGATGAACTGTCATAAATTCATTTAATTGGTACGTGATTCTTTTACATTTCGTTGGATTCCAGAAATATTATTCAAGAACTTCTTAACCTTTGCTTTAAAGGAAACAGTGACCTCAGTTAATGCTTTAAAAGCTATTTCCCAATCACCCCAACCCGAAACTTCTCATCTAACGTTACCAGAGCAAATCGGTTGTTTTCATAACAAACAGAGTAACCATGGTAACCATATTTATAGAACAATATGGCAAATTGCTTGCATATCTTCATTTATGCTCATATTGCAAGAAGGTTGCGGTATTTTGATTGATCAGGTGGTGTAAATCTCTAAAGCTCCCAATAATTTTGTCTCTTTTTTTCCCGTCAAAGACAGATCTGAGATCATGGAAAATTTAAATGTCCTGACAAATGAGTTCGTCATGACGACTCACTGGGATACCAGACAGGGACATAAAGCAACAATTTAAATGTAGGGAGGCAGTCTAGGCCGGGACAGAACGCAGCTCCAGCCCATGATCAGTCGTTCTTTCAGATCCGATAATATTGGAAAAAGGTGGAATGTTCTGCGAATTAAGGGAATTGTTTTTTCGTTTACGAGCACTAAACTAAATGGGCTGACGTCAAATCTACGTCAGAAGACGTAATTTTGGTAATCAAATTAAGAAACTTTCACTGATTTGGTTTTCGTTTAAATTGATACTATCGATTAGTTATTCTAGCACCCTAAAAATTCCAGCTAAAAATAACCATGCTCAGTTGAGACTTGAGAAGGACGAGAGAAGAACAGTGCCTAAAATAGCAAAATGGGAACAAAATTAAATTTTAAATTTTTGGCCACCTTCCCTTCCCTTTTAATTAGTTCGCGTGCCATATTTAAGAAGTGGTTTTCCTTTCTGGGCTCATACTGATAGTATGAGCCTTTTTAACAAAACCCACATTTCTCAATTCGCACGCAACTTCAACTTTTTAACAAAACCCAAATTTCTCAATTCACACGCCACCTCAACTTTAAGAACAGAGCAATTCACATGCAACCTCAACTTTAAGAACAGAGGTTTAAAGTACTTGCTGCAGAAGGAACTATTGGACAGGTCTCGGAGAATTCTCGCTAGTTCTAGTTGGGTGAGTCAAAACCCTAATTTCTCATACAAACGTTAAGAGTTAAGACCACCACCAAAAAGAATGCGTAGGTAGAATATGCGGGAATTATCCAAAGTTTGGGAAAATAGGGCTGAGATTTTAAAATTACCTGCTGAAGATGAATCTGTTGAACAGGTCTCGGAGAATTCTCATTAGTTGGTTGAGTTGTTGTGCTGCCTGACTTTGCTGACGTGGTCGCCTGGGATATGTACTGGGTCAATTAGTTAACTACATAATTAATGGCACAATCGTTAATCAATCGTCGTAAAATTAGGGAATAATTCACAGTGTATCGTTTGTCTGGGAAGATGAGACGACAGGAAGTTTACCGTTACTGGCAGTATCAGCACATATAATCCCTATTTCCAGGTATTTCTAGAGGACCATTGTAATTTGAGTGCTGCTGACAATGATAACGAGCATTGAAAAACATAATTAGACAGATTGCACTCTTAATAAATTGGCACCAAATGTTTTGAATTTCGGGGATGAAATTCTTAACATACCACAGCGGTGAGTGCCTTAGCAATGTTATCTGCTACCACAGTGGCCATTATCTCTCTTCAGTCTTCACCTCGCACGTCTTCTGTACATGTAACCTAAGAGTGAGATATTATCAACCAATTGCGCATTAATTAATTAGTAAATGTTGGATCATGATTATGATTTAACCTATATGTAATATGAAGTTTGCGTGAGATAAAATATGATTTAATGGAAAATTTCTTTGTCTTGGTAAGAGCATATAATTCAGTAAATCGAGTAAGGACTGACTGTCAATAATGGAAGTTTTAAATAGCGATAAACTTATAAATAACAAACAACACTTTATGAAACATAATACATGTAATACTCTACATATTGACGAAGATCTGAAATTTATTTACATAGATTTTGTACAAATAAAAATCTGTGACACCATAAAAACTATCTGACTCAAAAACCAACGTTTCGGTCCACGTTCTATAACAAACTCCTCGTATTAACTGATAGCAATTATTAGCAACAAAAATTCGATAAAGCAACCAGCGCCAAAATATAATTTGACCAGCAAATAAGTTAAATTGTTTAAGTATACAGTATACACATTATCTTACATGGTGATATAAAATTGCCCTATCCAGTAGGGTGCATAATGCATATCCTCTAGCAATATAAGTCTGACCGTTCTCTCACCTTCCCATACTATAACAACACCGGTTAACACCATAAAAACACCTCAATAACACCTCAATAACACCTCAATAACACCTCAATAACACCTCAATAACACCTCAATAACACCTCAATAATAACAGCTCACCACTGCTACCCCTCAGCAGCTGCCTCCCCAAGCTTAGCATACAAGTTAGGCTCCGCTACCAAACTCAACTCCTGAGGATTCACCACCACACTACAAATCGGACAAGCAGTCCCTCCATCAGCCACGTACTCTACAAAGACAGAGTAAAGGGCAGGCCAGGAGCAGTGAGGACACTCGCACCAGTCCTCTTTTAACATGTGACGTCCGGTTATGATACAGTAAGGCAGGGTGTTCTTACATTCTCCACATTCCAGGGTGGTTTGGGGTAGGAGGGTTCCACATTGGGGACATGGGTCTGTTGGTTCCTCCTGGAGAATAGGTTCATGTTGGTTTAAGTGGTGTTTACATGTGGGGGTTTTAAGGGTAGTAGCAAAGGCTGGGATATGGATGGCAGAGGAAGTTATTGCTCTAAAAACATACCTTCTAATGAATATAATGAACTTTTCTAAATGTACAGAAGAATCGCGAGGCAGGACGACCAGGGTTATTAAAAAAACTGCCTACCTCCTCCGTTTTGTCAGGTTTTCTGACTATCTGTTCAATCTTTTTCTTCCACTTTGGGTCTATCTGAGACCGGTACTCAGGACGCAGTAACATGGCCGCGTAACTGAACGCACTGGCACGTAACCCTGACCTGTAGCATTCCACTACCGTCGAGGTTAGGATCTGCGCTATGTGGGAGGGGAACTTACTGAAAATTAGGATTTAAGTTAGTTTGAGAAGAACAGAGACTTTGCTAGGACACTCTAAATTTCCGCCTGGTATAATTCAGAGTAAACAATTCATTGTGAGTAGACTGCCAATTGAGCAATCGGGTGACTGTTCATTAGTCGCACAGTTTTGCTTTTGGTTCGTCTTGGTTTGATAATTTACCCATTAAAACGAGATTTTCGTTCCATTATTGATTATATTTTATGCGACTAAACTGTCTCCTGCGACCAACCAAATTATGATCTTACCACAGTTACCATAACTCATTTAATATTTACTGCTCGTGATCTTACAAAAATTTATTAATTTTTAGTGATCACCAAACCAAGTTATTGATAGCTCTAAATATCATGTTAAATCCCGATAAAGGTGGCACCAATCATCATGTAAAATCACAAAACCACCTCTTTTGACCCCTCCCCCCTCCCTGGTACCCCTCCCGCCGGCTATAATACCCTCATTTACCTGATATTGCTAGCAACCCTGATCAGCATTCTAGCAGCCTTCATGTGATCTCCCTTCTTTACATGAAGTTTAACCAGGATGTAACTGTGCAGTAACATGAGGTTGTGCACCATTTCGTTCGGTATCTTTATCTTGTGTTTCAACAAATTCTGAAATTCAGTATATTTAAGATAAAATATCATGCTGTAACGGATCATTAAACTTATGTTGCTATGGTTGAAACGTTGCCATGGCTTGGGGATTGTTTCCAAGAATAGACTCCAAGAAAAGTATGTTATGTCAGGTACCAAATAGGCTTGTCTCCGAGTTTAGATGTCAGTCAACATATAAAATGTCAGGTACTACTAATTCAAGCAGTCTCCTGGGTGACCGTTATGATACGTAGTGAAAATACCAAGTATTGATAACAACGAATAATGAATAATAAATAGGTAACCAAGCCCTTTAAAACTGGCCTGACAGACAAGCGTAAATCTGACAGTTAAGATTAAAGAACAGCTTTCGCCTTTCATACATACAAATTAACCAATTATAAGCGGACCAATTCAATGGAGTTAATTGGAATATAACAACTACCTGGTACATTTCGAAGAGAACATCATGAGCGGTCCGGTAACTACCAGAAGCCTGATCCTCTTTAGCGATAATAATAGCTGTGCGGGCAGCTTCACGGTATTGTTTCAGAGACATGTACAGATTAAACAGGTACCTGGGTGGATTGTCAAGGATTAGGTTGTAACATTCAGCAACGAACTATTTAAGGAGAACTCAAAATAAGGGAAGAAATCAAATTTGAAGTTGGCTGAATATTAAAGATTTAATCGTTGAACCGAACTGCAGCAAAAGTTTTACAAAACACAAACGATTATCATATCGATCAAAATATATCCCAAAGTTTTTCTGTACCTGGCTGCTTTAGGAACCCCATCAATCTCACCCATTAAATAATCAATGAGTTGGTGAGTGAGGGAGTCCTTGTGTGCTTTTCCAACAGCTTCAATCGCAATATCCAGAGCTGCATCTACGTCATTAGGCGGTACTCGGATAAGATAGTGAAGTGCCTTGGCATAGTCTCCTGCTTTAAAGAAGAAGTTGCCACACTGCAGTGGTTTTCCCTGAGACTCGTAGTGCTTTGCTATAGCTGTATAGTCCTCCGGTGTGGCGTCGTCCCCGATAATATCAGCGTACTGAGCCATCTGATTGTGCTCCTCAGCGAGTGTGAACGCCTCAGCGTTACACTTGGAAACCACCAGGAACTGAATCGCTGACGCATAATCTCCCAGATTCTGGAAAAACTTGGCCACAACTCTAGCTCCCTCAACAGACTGGGTCTCCTGAACTATCCTTACAGCTTCCTTAGGATTCTTCAAATGATCCAAGTTGATCCTGATGACACTATCATAATCTTTACCCGCCTCGTACGCATTAGCTGCCTCCTTAAATTTACCCTCGTGTTCTCTATTCTTAGCATACTGAATGTATATTTTAGGAGAGGTAATATGGGGCAGTATTTCAGCAACCTTACTCCAGTTTCTAGCCTTCATGTACACTTGAGCTGCCTTGTCGTAGCTGTTACCCTGAAGTGCGTAATAAGGTGTTAACAAGGGGACTGTGTCAGGTGAACCTTTGTTACCGGTCCTTGTTCGCTGACGAGCGTTGTTCTCTAAAGAACAATAGACATATACGTGGCATGGTTTGGGTGAAACAGCACAGAACTGCCCTTACGGGATCTATGCACTTATCATTTTAGACAATGCGCCTTGTCAGGATAGAGAACATTGTAAACTTTACGGTTAAGTGTCCAGCTATATTTGTCAGAATTAAGTACCCTGTTAGAACTAACTACATTGTCTAAAAGGTTGAAAACTAGCTGTTCTTAAATACAACTGATTCAACAGGATTTAATAGGCTTTAATTGGATTCAATGGTATCTAATGGGATTTGGTAGGAATTTAATAGGATTTATTGGGGATATGATGAGAAAAAACCAGTAGTTCCTCGACTGGTCATTACTTTCGAATATATTTCTGGAAGTTTCTAACCTTCTCATAGAGCATTGCAGCCTCAGGGAACTGTTTTATAGCCTCCAATATAGTAGCACACTCCTTACACAGTAATCTGTTAGTCAGTTCCAGAGCCAGGTTCACGCCACGCCTGATGTCGCCCATTCTGATGGACATGCGCGCGATACCTCCCTTGCACGTGTTATCATGTTCTTCGTGCAACTTTGTTATTCCTGACGGAAAGTTAGTCAATACTTGTTTTGAGGGAATCTGGGAGGTAATCATTGTGAAATATGCGGTATATGGGAGAAAATATAGTACAGGATTCAAAGACACAAGTCCAGTGTCCACTAGTCCAGTCAATCATTATATAACCTCCACAGTCCACAGGTACACATATCTAAATAAATTAAATAAAGTACCCTCTAACTTACTTCAACACAATGGTAATCTAAATTATTCTACCTTTCTCGTAGTGTATAAGAGCATTGGCCCAGTCTCCAGTAAACTCAAGCTGTTGAGCGTACTCTTTAGAAACAAATGGTATCTGTTCAGGGGCCAGGGACTTGGCCAGCTGGAGTGCTTGATTCCACTGAGGGGGACAGAGTTTTAAATACAAAACTTTACAGGTACATATTATATGATGTGTTAAATACAACTTATACAGTACAATCTGTTATCATATAATCATGTGAGGTAATAGAGGAACTTAAATTGTTAAAACTTCGTAATTTAAGTGAGATGAAGGGTCTAGGTGTGAGATGAATCATGGAGGGTGTGAGATATGTGACTTGTGAGATATGCGAGAAATGTGAGATATGCATGAGATATGCCGATTTATCCAGACATACAGTGTAAAGATAACTGTATTGTTACAATGTATTAAATCTAGACAGTCGCATGCTTATTGTGCTTCTTAATACAAACAATGTTAAAATGTACAGTCAGTGTATTTATCAAATGTACAGTGAAATGTATTAAATGTGAGAATACACATCTATGTATAATCATGTAACCATTTACAGTTACACCAACCTGTAAAAGATCGCGTCTCATTTCCAGAGCCTTCAGAGGCTGGCTGGACTCCAAAAACAGCTGCTGACTATAATCAAACTGATCACAAAGCAATGCCATGTGACCTGCAACTAGTTTCCTGTCCTCAACGTGCTGTAACTCTTGTAGAGATAGCACGATGGCAGCATCGCCGATACGGCGGTACACCCTCATCGCTAGCTGGACTTCCAGGTGGTTAAGAAGGGTTTTACCCAAGTGCAACCAATGCTCCGTGTGGTTCAGAAGCTCAGCAAGTTTCCAGGCCTCGTTGTACCGTTTTAGCATGCAAGCGTTGTGAAACGCGTCTATCAACTGTGACTGGTAGATGTATATCTCCTCGGGAGTCAGATCGTTAAGATTGCTAAAGTACGCGTGTGAAGTAAGAGCTAGGTTGACCAGTTTTCCTGACTGAGTCTGACACTTGAGCTCTCCAGCGTACATGATGAGAGGGCGATATCCGTACGGTAACTTTGTCTCCCCTGTACACTGCACCTGTTCTCCAGTCACTATATCTCTGTGTAAAGTGTACGTTACTACCACTTCCTCGTTAAATACTACAAACACGTGACCATCGTTCTGAAAGGAATCCCAGATAACACCGGTTACTCTGGTTGGAAGGTCGGGCAGTTTGAACAGCTCGTCGTTGACTGGGTTGTAGCTGTAACCATCCATCTTTTCGTCCAGGAATACCAGTTTGGTTCCAGAATGATCTGGGAACATCTTGGAGATGGTGCATGTGTGCCTATACTCGTTGACAAACTTCCAGTCTTCAATGAAGAAGTAGTGTATATTTCCTCGCTGAGTGCCGAAGATTAGGAACTCGTTTGTGAGTGAACAGCATGTGATGTCATCATCAATATCAGTATCTTTATCAGGGAAGAGTCTGCTGTCTCTATCATTATCACTGTCTCCCTCTATCATGTGGAGCTGGATCTTCTTCTCGAACAACACTGCAGCGTAGTCAGCGTTCATGTACATTTCAGCGACAGTTCCCAAGTACTCCCGCTCCAACAGTGGTTCAGAGCTCTTGTTCTCTGTCAGACTGTAGATCCACACTCTGTTGTTCATACCCACAGAGAAATGATGCTGCCCCAGAGCAATGAACACCGGTTCAGTCACCACACTGAAGGCGGTGGGTTGGTCGGGACGGGTCAAGTCAATGACAGTGACCTCCAAGAGAGAGGTGAGGTACGCGCAAGAGGTACGGTAAGTATCCCCGAGCACTGGAAGACGGGTCAGATAAGTAAACACTTCTCCCTTGTTGGTAGCTACAGAAAGCAGCTGGCCGTCCCCTGACCACTCCAGCTTATGAAGACTCCCTGATTCCACCTCCAGGTTTATAATAGCGTATGTGTCCTGTAGATCCTTCAGATCGTACAGTTTCACACAGTTATCACCGATACTAGCTGCCTTGCTCAACGTGAAAGATATCGAGATATCATTCAATACGTCTCTGTGAGTTTTAGACTGGAACAGTTCCTGTCCTATCTCCTTAGGATGTGTGCTGATGACAATGAGGAACCCGTTAGTAAACCCAATGAGCATGTAACCGTCTCCAAACCACCGGTACCCCACTATGTTACCGTAGCGACCCTGGAATGCTAGTTCTATTGGATTCTCTGGATCGTCCAGGTTGAAAAGGAAGAGAGTTTTACGGCCCACTACAAAACTGACGGTACTGTCGTTCAGAGCAGCGGTGCCACGAGAGGAAGCAGCATTTGATTTCATCTCAGAGAAGATAGCCAACTCCGGATCGTATCTGAGTAAATAATACCAACTTGAGTTTTGAGTAGGGGCGTAATTGATAGACTTCTGTGAACTTTAATTTCAGGTCTCCATATACTACCATTTCAAAATTAAGTTTGTTCTACGATGTAGGTACAACACACTAATCACTATTCTAGATTTTGTTATCCATTGTGGGTTATACAACAGTGACAAACCTTAAATTCGCAGATCTAATCGTGTCTCCTTCAACCGAACTGCAAGTCAACATTCGGTCTTCAGATCCAAGTGCTAGAACATTCTGAGAGTTCCACGCACCGCATATTATACGCTTACTGTGCTTCCCTAGCACCGGTACCTGAGTGAAATATAACATTAAGTGTCTTAATTTTGACAATACTTTAAATATATCCCTTTATCTGGATATAAAGATAAGCAGTGATTAGATGTAACCAGGTGAATGCCTAATGCCTATTTAATATTTAGGACAAGACTATTGAAGAGGAATCATCTACAATGTATTTTATACATTAATGGTATTCTTACCTACCTTCCTACCAGAAGAATGGTTGTAAATGAGCAGATTTCCTTGATAGTTCCAATAGCCAGAAGGGGAGCGTGAGGGCTCCAACACACGAACGACAGATTGTCCCGTAGCCCACTGTCTAGTGGACGCTGTGTGCGAGTGTTGGCATCCCACAGATAAATAACTCCTGATTTATCCTGGAGAATAAGGTAATAATAATACCAATCATATACGACTAAGGGACAGTAGATACGGTCAGTCACATGTATCGAGCTGTTTTATCATGTAAGGCCAGGGTTACTAACATAAAAAGCGCCAGACGGGAAGCTGATACTGTAAAATTGTAACAATCATCAGTTCGATAATCAAATTTTGCTATCATCTAACAATTTTCTAACTTCTTCTCCGTTCTAACATTCTTATGACATAAGTAACAAAGTTGCAAAGATTGTAGTACTAACGTAACACCAATTTAATAAAATAACATCTATTTCTGTAAAATTAAGATGTGCAACCTGAATGATAGCGAGTGTGTTTCCCTCAGCATCCCACTTCAATCCGGTACAAGATCCTGGCAGTGAGATATCATCTACCAGCTCACCGTGTCTGTCATATATGTTAACTGTCCGGTGTATACTACCAACCGCTAAATAGGAACCCTGATACGGATATAAATTTATACATGATCTATTCACCTGTTGTCAAACATCTCAAAATGAACAGAAGCTAGCCATATCTACACAGTTTCTCACTTAAATGACAATAAACAGACCACACAGAAAATGTTTTTATGTTGGTGTGTATAAAAATGTCATGTGAAAAAAAACAAAGGAACTCAGAGGTTACTAAACTAACAACAAAACAAGAGACTCAATGTTCACTCAAGAGAAATCACTTTAGGACTCACCTGTTTGCTTTGCCAAGCTAGGTGAACGGGTGAAAATCCATTAGTTTTGGACGATATTGAGAAGACTTCCTTCATCTACAATCTGTATCAAATAGAGTTATAAGTATTATGTTTTGGAGATTGATAAAGGCTTGACCAATTCGCATAATATTTAGTTTTCAGAGTATCATGATTCGTTCAGAGCCGTTAAAAACCAGAGACCTAGAGGTCCAAATATTCACTAGAATCTTAAGTTTGATAACGTTGATTCGTGCTTGTGTCGATTCATAACGATTCTGGATATTATCTTAGTGATTTTATTCAGAATCGAGCCGTAACTATCGGCGAGGGAGTCATCGTGTTGGATCAAAACTACGAAAGGAAGCGTTACTATAGCAGATTGGCGTCCGTTGCCACCTCAACGCAAGAATTTCCTTTGGAGATATCCAGTGCCGAAATCAAATATTTAGGAGACGATCTTAAATATTTGAAAAAGCGCCGCGCACCACAGCTATGTTTGAATTTGTAGGTTTACTGTTTACAACCTACCAGGACGCGCGCCGAGTTGGACTCGTCGACGGTCCAATATATGGAACAGATATTTTACGAGTATCACCCGTTAATGTTTGAATTTATGATTTAGTTTTGAGTTTGTTGTAAGCACACGCGCTTGTTTGTATGTACAATGTAGGTTTTTATAACCTACAACCAAGACGCGCGCTGAGTTGGACTCTTCGAGTCGTCGACGGTCTTGGAATATTTGGAACAAATAATTTAAGAGTATTACCTGTTAAGCGCTTATTAATTATTAAATTATTTTAGACTTTAATGGTTGTAAATTGACGTATGGTATGAAATGAAGAGTTCAGTAATAATGGTATATTCTGCAGCAGTTTTCCGAAAACAAACCCGTGCATAGGGCTCTAGATAGAGCAAGAGATTCGGCGGAATGACAGGCTGAGCGCGGCCCAGTAAGCGATTACATAAACATAAAATTGCTTACCTGGGGACCCCATGCTATTATTTGTTATTGATTGTATTTATGTTCATAATCATATTGGATATTTGGCGGAATGACAGGCTAAACGCCGCTTAGTAAAAAATTGCGGGTCGCAATTGGATCTCGACGCTTATTGTATTGGCGCACGTTATTGACCATTGTTAATGATCAGGCCCGGCGCGCGCTACTTCGTAGCACTTGCCATCGGGCCATTTCGAGAAGAAAGCGGCGCGCGCTACTTCGAAGAAATTTAGACGAGTAACATCTGTCAACGCACGTTATATCTCCGCCAAAAGCACATCCAATTTGATACGTATGAAATATTTGTCATACGTTGTATGACCCGCCGCGCACGAAGTGCTCGGCTCCACCTGTATCGTCACCATAGTGAAACGACCGTGGTATCACGTTGTGACCCCCACGGTCGTTTCACTATGGTGACGATACAGGGGAGCCGCGCACTTCGTGCGCGGCGGGTCATACAACGTATGACAATAATATACATAGTCAGAAGTATTGCGAAAATGGAAAAAGCATTATTTGTTGTTTCATACGCGCGGCTCGGCCCAATATGCAGTACATGTACAGTTTCACATAGCCATGTGTATACGCGTACTGCGTGACGCTCTGCAAGCGAGAGGGCTCTGGTTAGAGAAAATGTACAGTGTACACAGTATTAAACTTTTAAAAAGTGATAGCTCGTTTAATATTATAAAAATTGAAACGAATTTGACGGATGTTACTCGTCTAAATTTTTTCGAAGTAGCGCGCGCCGCTTTCTTCTGATCGAAATGCCCGAGGCAAGTGCCGAAGCAAGGTATAGATAAGACTAGAAAGTTGGGCGATATAAGACAAAATAAGAATTTTGATAGCAGATAGGAAAAAAATGTTGTTTTTTTCCTATCAGTGTCCTGATTATTTTGGCATTTGGTTTACAAAGTTATTTTTCTTTTAATGTTTAAATATGTTCCATGTTGCAATTTCCTCCGATACTCAATATCCCCACTTCCTTTTTCATGTTGAACAACGAACAACATAACCATCGAAACAATTTAGTAAGCTTTGCTTCTAGTTGTTTGGTCCAAATTTATACGTTGCACACTTTTGTAGTTGTATTAGTGTAACAATAGATCAGGGTTCTTAAAAGTATAGTGGCGTTACAGCCATTTTGACGCGCTTGTTCATTGCACTGAAAGCGCGAGAGGGCTCTGGTTAGAGCAAGGGCTGAAGCCATCCGATTTGCTTTTCCCGTCGATGTTCACACTATAAGTACAGTATAAGACAACTTTAACACGAAATTCAGCAGGATCAGAAAGAATTATTTTGCCAATACTACAAGTTGCAAGTACATTGTCATTACGCATTGACTTGGTTTTTGTCACGTCTCCGATTTCTATAGTTTTTTTTTCTTCAGGTAAAAGCGAACGTTACAATTAGAAGTCACTGAAGTCTAGCCAGTTGGTGAAAAAATAATTTTGGGTTACAGGGGAAATTCGTTTACTGGTGATCTGGACTCTGGATGCACTTAACCCTGACTGCTGACGCGACTCCAGACTTGCGATTTCTCAACATTGTGATAAAATTAAGGATGAAGAAAACATGGCAGCTTATTAAGTCAATGGTGGATGGCGAGGCAGGGAAGAACCCATCTAAAGCGTCTCCTCTTTTAACATAAACAGAGTTATTATTTTTATAGTTATATTGCAGGTTTCTGAACCTCAAATCAAACAGCGATATCAGTGATATGAAAATAATCCAATAAATACATCTCAATCGTAATTATCACACTACATACCGATGGCGGTGTCACACAGATAAAGTTAAACATTTATATTAGACAAAAATATCTTTTAATTCAAAGTTACTACAAAATCTGATTCAGGATTGGCAAGGAAGAGAACTGAAAAATCGGTCAAAGCTTCGGCCACTTTTATACGCTTAATCATAGCAGGATCGTTATGTTACGGTTGGCACATGGTATCGGTCTCATAAGGACAAATTAGGCATTTCATTTATGGAAACAAATAGACACCGATAAGTGAAAACGTGCCTCTACATCGCGCAATAATCTTACGAAATAATCCCAAAAAAGATTTTAAATTTCAAATAATCAACTTTAAACTCCAAGGAAATAAAAATCATTATAAAACAATGCTGTTATTAGATATTTACAACAGAACCATCATTAAAAAGTCGTCAAATCATATCGATTATCAAAACCAATCAGTCACCCAAAAAAATGGGTCCTAAAACATCTCCTAATTTCTGCTCCTAATCTTTCACTAAAGAAAATTAGTTTCATCACATGCATCAAGGTCACGTGGCAGTCAAATAAGCAGCTAATGATAGAGTCAATAAGAAGAGTGAAGGGGCTAAAAAGGATGAGGAGCTTGGTTTTAGAGGGATCCTACCCTGGTCTAGTTCTTCGACTTTTACTTTGTAGTCTTCATAACTGAAACGGAGAACCGAGTTATTAGATGGCAAACAACTTGTGTATGGGAGACAGCTTCTTAAGAATGAAAACATCTAACTCTAAAAGGGAGAACATTTCGTTGTTAACAGAATGGTTAAGTAGAATCAAGTATTTACCCAGATATGATATCGTCAATATTTATGTTTGGTCCGTTTCCAGGCACCTCCGGATTTTGGCGCTGCCCTTCATTGGTAAACCTGGGAAAGATTGGGATAAGAGCAGGCGTTACTAAATGGTTTATTCTGTCTAGAATTTCTATTTCTAGCATCATGAAAGACAAATATTTGCTGTCAATCTTTAATAGGAGAAAGACTATGCCGCACTTTTCAGTCAAAATTAGGCACGGAGCCAACCAGACATTGACAGAGTTAAATGTTTATCGTTAACTTTATCACAAGGTAACACATTAGCTATTTTTAAAGCTTTTCATGTCTTGTGCAAGACGTTCGTGTGTTATAATACGTCTGGAGCAATAAACATATTATGTTGGACGTTTAAACACCTAAAAACTAGTGCCAACTAGAACCACGAAGGAAATATTTCATGTAGAATCTCCACTTACTCGTATATATTGAGTCTGTACTCCCCTACTTGGGATTTGTTCCAACAATTCACCTCGGACACTCCGCTGAACACGAACTTACACAACCAGTCAGAATCCAGGGTTTCTCTTGCGTCGTCTTCGTCGTAGTTAAGCTGAAGAGCGAATACTGGCTAACAAGGATCATCTCGGAGAGAAGTAAAGCTATTATACTTACTAGCAGGAACTCGTCTAACCCAAACGTTGTGTCAAGAGATTTTGATACAACTTTGGGGGTCCAAATTTCGAGGCCTAAAGTTCTTATGGTAACACGACTCCTGTCCGACAGAGACATCTGTCCGACTCAGGGTACCAAAGTAAGTAAGAAAAAAACCGACATCTGTCCGAAATTGTGATCTGATTTCAATACGACATATTTCCAATTAGAGACATGATCTGAACTGTTACTTGCTAAGTTGTATACGTAACATTTTCAATTTAAGATATGATCTGAGCCATGATAGTTGACTACCATAGTTTATTTACATTTGATGTCTATAAATCGGACAATAGTTTAAATGCTATATAAATGTTATATAAATTAAATCATAATTCAATAAAATACAATATCAAAGAATCAAATCTTAAGCATAGTCAAATTTCCGATAGCTTTTAGGAAATCCATAGGGTTGCTGTAGTTGTGTGATCATCTACAATTCTCTGAAGTAGTCGATCGTAACGGATCCATTTGGGTGCATGTGGCTCAGGTAGTTCCCGCCCGTCTCTTTTCGTTTTCTTCACGTCTGTAAAGGCTTCTTCTGCTTTAACACAATCAAGGAACTTCCAAATTGTGGAAGTTCCTTGAAAAGTACGTAGGTAATTGCTCCAGTCATCGCGAAGAAATCCCGAACAGGTGAGTTTGGAGTACGAGTTATTTCGTCGGTTGATCTCCTCCAGAAGCCTTTCTTTTCAAGTTCTGTTTCAGGAGTATGAGTTATCAGTTGTTTGTCCACGGTAGAGATGCAGGCTCTGCAACCCTTTCGGAAATCCGTACATTTCCAGTAGGATGTGTCGTCTCTTCGTTTGTCGAAGACGTATCGGAAGCCATTTAGGACAGGGTTCTCGGAGCCTTGTTTGCGTCCAGGGATAAACTGAAGATTGGTTGCCATTGTGGATTGCGATAACCATACTGCTGTCCTATATGTATTCATGTAGACTGTGTCCTGTGATGTGATCGACAGCTTGTTAGTGTACGGCTAGCACGATCCTGTTCTCATCTAGTCAATCACGTATCGATGGATCAGATCTCAATGGATCACATCAGCATTAGAACAATGGGAGCAACGTCACGAGATTACCCGTGAGCTTGTGAAATACGAATGTGACAGATGTCGCCAAAAACGACTCCTGTCCGACAGCGACATCTGTCCGAAATCCCTAATTCGGCTGTCGGACAGATGTCGCTGTCGGACAGATGTCGCCCAATCAGTTCTTATTTCTTGGCTAATACTTTTTCGTACTGTTCAAAAGACCACAGAAGCATTTGTCCCAGCCAAAAAAGTTTCAATGGTATATCTCTGGCTGTTTTTGAGGAAAATCGTTTAAAGGTTTAAGTCGTGGCGTCAGTAAAATGGCAACAGATATATATCGTCTCGCTTTAAATATAGTAAGATGGACTACGGCCAACCAAATCTGGGATTCTATAAACGTTTGAATGGCTCAATGTTACTCAATAAACCACGGACTAACCCATATGCAATAGGTTGCCAAATATCAATGTAAATACGTTCCACCTTGACAAGAAGTAGGTGAATATTGGCAAAGTTCAGAAGCAAGAAATTGATTTAAATAAGAACTAAGAAACTTACCGCAAAGTCGTACACGGCTTTTTTAGTAGGCTCTTTACCCCGCTGTAGACTACTACAACTAGCACGGAACTCGTTATCGAGCTGCAGTTTAGACTTCACCTCCGATTTTAGGTCTTCGACGGACACTGCTGAAGCACGTGCAAACTGTTCCACAAGACTGTTCAACTTTACCTGGGTGTGAAATTAGTAATAGGCGCTTGTAATTTTAATATTAGTATTGCTCTTACAATATTCAAATATATAGAATTACATCAGAGGAGTAATTAGACGTGAATATCATAAAATCAAACCTACCTGATTGAGTGCTAGATGCTGGATATATTCCCTAGTTTGGATGTGTCCTTTCAGACACCCTGACAGAATGTTTCTACATAATTTAGCGCAGGGGTGAGAGAAAGAGGTCTTATCGAGACACAGGTTACAGCCACCAAACTTCACTGAAAATGCGGGTAGGTGTGTCAGGGGGCAAATTGGGACGAGAAAATGGGGTTAGTATACAAATATTGGTATCAAACAAATCATACATCAGAAAGAGTTCATATCTAGAGGGAAAGTGTTAGTTTTCAAAGCCAGAGAGGTAGAATAAAGTAAGTTCAAAGTTTCGTTTCTAGTATAATATTGGTGGATGCTGCACAACTGCTATATACAAAGATCTTCCAAGATAGATTTTCAAAGCTGAATAAGATTTTGTGAACATTTTTGAAGGAAAAATCAAGTGCTAGAAAGTGATTAGATCAACTTCTAGAAAGTGTTAGATCAACTGAAAGAGGGTTAGATCAACTCAAAAGATCAACTAAGAAGATTGATTAAGAGCGAATTCAAATGAAAGGCAAAAGTAAAGGTAGGTATACAGAGACAAATCCTCGTAAGGCTCTCACAGCCACTCTGACTCAGCTATTTGTAAAATGGAAAAACGCTAAAAGCGGCAAATATTTATTTCTAAAAGAGGGATTCACTTAACTTTGTAGCGCTCGAACTCGGAAAATCTAAAAAGATCGCCGAATACCAACGATAATTTAAACGAGAGAGGAGCTTGTAACCCAACCAATACTCTCACTTTCACATTACATCACGTTACAAGACATGTGAGCGTCACCCCGCGTGACATATCACCATGACAACGCATGACTGTTGTCACGTGACGCCAAGATGATGACGTCACGTGACAAATCACATGACTCACGGCACAGCACTAGTTAGACCAGCAGGAATTTAACGGTAGTGACAGCGCTATACTTCCACTTACGTGCTTGTGTTTCGGAGACTCCTTCTTTTACTGAGAAATTCAATCCTTTTTTACAGCTTTTTACATTGGATTTTCCACCCAAAAATTAAATTATATCAAAAACAGAATAGTTAACTTATTTAAGATGTTGAAAACATCGTATAAATAATTTAAAACTTACCTAAGACTAAAAACTGAAAACAAAAAAGCGCAAGTATCAGCAGAATCATGCAAATATCCACTTTACGACACAAAAACAACATTTAACCACGAAATATTCCAACTTTCCCGTCCAGTTAACGTACACGGTCTCAAATGCAGTCGCTCATCTCAAACAGCACACATTCTCCTGACATACGATTCCTAATTAGGATGAAAATATTATCAAATATGGTAAAAAGCCATGACCATATTTGGTAATACTAACAGTTGTGCAAGATCAACGTTTTCTTCACCAAAAGTAAGAATCGCAAATCACTCACATTTCAGGTCGTGCCACGTGTAGTATTTGCGGTCGTAGCATCGCAATGTAACCAAAGGATTTTGATACCATATTCTCAAATCCCTAACAAGTACGAAAAGTGGCATATGACCATGGCCTGAAAATGACTAAGACTCTACCAATGCCCATACACGATCTCTTAAAGGTACATATATCATTTTCATTGCCCTAATTTCCTTCAAACGCAAACTTAAAGACTTACTTTGCTGTTCCACTTTCTCCGTAACTGTTATGTTATTTTTTCAAAGGTAAAACAAGGCTACGATAATATGAAGAAGTGCAGGTAGATCAGGGTATTGAGTTTTTAATACTGCTGCATAGAAAAACGTGATTCGGTAATCTCACTGTACAACAAATGCTTCAATGGGGTGGGTCAGACTAGCGAATCTTGACAAAAACGCATCAGGGGCCGCCAGGTCGCATTTTGAAAGTTAATTTGGGGAGCTTCGTTTAAATTACAATGAAACGCCGCGCCTTGACGCACCCCAAAAACTCCTAAAACGTGACTCGTAGGACAGCTTCTAAAAGCCAAGATTCGCTAGTTTAAACTTTAACTACACCTCATGATATCTCACAAGACCTGGAATTCACTGCTCACAGAACCTCACTGAAACAGTAAACTCTAACTTACATCCGCCCCGGACAGCCCCAATATAGCACTCCTCTGTGAGATCTTGGGATGTGGCGGCTGTTATCAGTTCTGTCATTAACTGGTACCCTCGCAACATAACCAGGATAGAGCCCAGGTATCTGGTGTAATGAGTACGTTTACTTGATTAGCTATTAAATCAAGGACGATATATTAATTTACTCTTGATTAAGTTAGTTAATCCATTACATAGCCGATAACTAACTTGAGTTGGATATCTTTCAACGATTCCATGTCGAAGTACAGCAGGTCTTGACACGTTCCTGATACTGCCGCTCCCAAGCTGGTTGATAAGGCTCCTGAAGAAAATTAACTTCAAAATATTCATCTCTTTCAAATTTTATATCATAAAAAAAGTATTTAAACCATATAATACCTTATGATATATACATTATACATAACCCTGGGCATTAGTGCAATTCCCAAATCTGCGTGTGTTCCCGATCATGGAATTTGTATGATATCTCTAGATGAGGGTAAACGGTCCAAATATACGGAGGACACTTGCCAGTGTCCAACGGCTAAGCACTATTGTCATGAAATTATCATTATCGTCATAATATGATGACTGATCAGAAATAAGTACGCTTGTTCAATAATCAAATTTTATCATATTGTGATACTTGGGTGTAATTTTACTGATAATTAAATCAGGGTGAGGTCTCGCAAAAACATATATTTCAAGACGCCGTTTCAACTAAGGTCAGCAAAAAGGATCGCTGTAACACAGAAAAATCGCCCAAAGACCTGCCCTTGCCTTATCAGATCGAGCCCGAGTATTTCTATCCAAAAGAGTATTATTATTTAGGTTTTACCCACCATATCTGCCATGATCTGGACCATTTTAAAAGGTTTGATTTTCATGCTCACATGTTCGACCTGCCCAAAAAGGTACTGGGAAGCAATTATACCCTCCTTAACCCTGATCATTTGTCTGACCAAATATAAAGTCCTTTCGACGGAATGGCTAATTTAAAAAAAGCCGATTAACCCCAAGTGCACAGCAGATGGTGCAAACCTGTAGCGGACGCGGCTCTCATCTCCTCCAAGTCAGCGCTGGTGAGAGTGTTAACTCCCGTTATGTAAGACGAGAACTTCTCATTAAGCTCTACTTTCTTGGCTTGTGAAAGCGTAGAGCTTGTTATTATCTTCGTGAGAAGAGCTGGGGGAAGGTTTAAAGATGAGCTAAGATTTATCTTAGTTGACAAATTCACACTTTAACTTAATCATGATGTGCCCGAAATTATTAAAGTGAAATAGTTTATCGAGATAAAAAGGTAAATAAAGGAGATAAAAGTTTCGACTTACTGCTCTTATACTGCTTATCGGTGGCAATCTTCGCATAAAACTGATTTAACACGAGGAAAACTCTGTTTTTCAGAATACTTTTCGTCTTTTCTAGGAGCTTGTTTTCTACTGCTTTGTTGCAACAGCTATTCTCCGTCAAAATGCAGATATCATTATCTGAAAAAAAAGTTGTTTATTGAGAAAGGATGGTAGTAAATTACTTATATTTAACTCTAATCTGTTAGAGATAGGACAGGAGCTATCAAAGGTAACACTCTAAATGAAACCTTGCAAAATGTAATTGCCGAAGATTATAAATAATATTATAGACAATTATCAACAAATGGAGTTGGTGACAGCGAGCAAGTCATTTTTCCTTTGACGAGACAAATCCTACCCATGCATTGTGCAACCTGTAATTCTCCTTATTGTAACTTGAAAGAGATAACAGTCCTTATTATGGAGGACTACACGTCCCTGGAGCACTTCAAAGAGAATATGTGTCTCAATATTTAGAGAATATATGTGTCTAAATGAATATAACGACAGATGTGAACTCACTGCGGCTGCTGGTCTTTATTGTGTTGTCATTTAACAAACTCTTTATCTTACTGCATTGTCCCGCACATTCTGTCCCTGGCGGGTAATACGCGTTAAAAATGATAATACGATTTTTCTACTGATATGATGAAATTATTTCCATACCAGTACCACGTCAAAAAACGACAAAACGTTTAGTATACCAAATTTTATGAGAATTGGCGGGAGGAGACGCCTATCTTAACTTTAAAAAGAAACATCAGTTAAATTAGGAATTAAAAGCTTCATCATACAATTGTTGCTATTGGAAATATGTAGAGCACCTATATACGGCCTGCACGTCCAAAAAAAATTACAGATATATTAATTGGAAAACAAGCTATTAAATAAACGGGAAGCAAAGGATTCCGTAGGTTAAAGTTAAACTAACCGGGTATGATTAGTAAGCAGCTGATGGTAAGTAGTGCGAGGATATAAACCATTTCTTACTCATTCCACCTGATAAGGAAATGTTAGAAACCATGTTAAAAAACCATGTTAACAACTATGTGTTAGACATGTAACAGTTAGCACTTATGACGGACAATGTGAACGATAAAATATTCATGTTAATTTGAAAAAGAACTGAGTTATTCTAGAATGAGGACTCATCAAACCGCAAAAAAAAGATTAAGTCTAGCTAGACTGCATTTTTCTAGAAAAATTAATATTCATCTCGCAACAAGAAATATCATCACGAACCCTAACTAATTACTTCTAGATTATTTCCCTTGTTAGTTAAATCACAAAGAAAATATTCGTTCTGTTTGGCATAAAATATCTAAGGGCACCCCGACAATTAGCGATATTACTGGACAACAGGGCGTATTACTATATCAGAGCTGTCAGAGGATAAAACAATAATCTTCCTGGCGTTTCAAAATTTAGGTTGATAGATTTCATGTCACCGTTGTAATAAAGTTCGGATAAAACGTGTCAAAGACAAAGTAACACGTTCCCATAGCACCGGAAACAAAAAAAAACATAAACAAACACGTGCACACTGCACAGTGATAGTCAAAGTGCGCTGCACCCAATTACTAGCCTAGTTTACTAACACGGTGTAGGAGTTAAACCAGCTGCTTGTTCTTTGTTAGTCTGCCCGAGAAACCTTACTACCGAGGTAATTGTTAATGTGAGGTGTTTGAAGAGATTTAGTACACAGCAGGAGGAATTAGTTGTTGAAGAAAGTGTGGAGATTCACCGGAAGAGCGCTGAAGGATCGCCGGAAGATCGCTTCTCAGCACGATGGATGGCATTGCATACCGCACTTTAACAAATCATACATTCTTGGAGATCAGATTCAAATAAATCAATCTTTTTATTGTAAAAGTTGTAAAGGAAATCAGTAATGAAACTACATGAAATCAGAACCAACACACAATCCAAAACCAAGCACCCACAATCCACGTAGCCCTTTTTTCCAGTTTTAAACAATCTTTCCGGCTGTAATACTATTATCATGATATTTTATTGATATTTACAGTATTTACATACAGCCACCCATGCGATGTAATCTGAGTTTATTTTTAAATCCGGGTAGGAACTTTTAAAACAAAGCATATGCTCGGCTGCACTATACTGCGATATACAAAATGATGTTTAAACCAAGAAGGCTAGGAGAAAGTAAGATATGAGCGCAAGACAACGTGTAAGATACTGACAATAGCATTAACAGTCAATAAACAACAGCTCGGAGTAACGGAGTAACGAAATAGGTTTGACAAGTTGAGTATTGTGAAGAACGTCATCCGGCTTGGTCAACAGACACTATAAGTATAAATACTGTTGAGTCTAGACTGCCTCATACTCTCAAGAGATCTACAATCGGCACGTCATTCGATGAGGCTGCTAAGATGATGGGCAGATAATGGATCATATTATTATTAGAGTTGAGTTTTTGATGTGTGATCAGCCAAGGGCGTTATAGGAGCATTACTCCCAAAATTGACTGTATCTAAAAATGTGAATGAACCTGCAGACAAAATTGGATGTCATACAATTTTTGGGCATTTGCAAAATAAGACAATGAAAACAGTATAACTATAGTATAAGAGACTAATCGATGATTTAGTTTTCTGCTGTACTAGACTTTAACTAGGAGCATGAACTAACGAACTTACAGGCTGCCCCGTTGTTACCACCGTTACTGTATCAGACCCAAGAAAGGGTTTAGACGTTCAAAAATTGAATGCAATTGACACCCAGGATAATATCCTGGGTGTCAATTGCATTTACTTTTCTGTATAGTTAGATGGGAGTTAGATAATTATGTAAAATTGGTTTTGGATGAAATTTGTTCTACATTTTGTATACGCAATACGCATCATGGCTATATGTGCCGTGTAACAGACATGTGTGAACTGACACCTGATTTTCGGCTGGAGCCAAGAAACGAGATTCAGTAAAATAAAAGCAGCCATGGAAAGGTACTATATATATATAATACTGGCTGAAACAACAAATAATACTTCAAACAAACACCATGTCATGACATCTGTTATCGAAATAAAGATAAGATAAAAATAATGAATGATAACGAGATATGACCGAAAAATTAAAGGTCAAAACTGGAGAACAAAATGGAAAGAAACATTATCTGCAATACGACCATATTGAGTACACAGTCGGTATATGCAATAATCAATATTTGACGGGACATAGAGAGTATCTATCCGGTGAAATGACAGATTTGGAGAGTAGTCAGCCAATCAAATGCCATGGTTAGAGACCCACCAGCCAATCAAATGACAGGAACACAAAGCCACCAGCCAATCAGATGACAGGTTCAGAGAGCAGTCAGCCAGCCAATGAACTGACAGGATCAGAGAGCTGCCAGCCAATCAAATGCCAGTATCACGTTGAAGACAGGACGTATTTGGTGACGTGAAGATGAGCGGAAGGGGGTAGGGTACAGGTAGTTTCAGGTACATTAATGTGTGTGGCTTTATCACTTTGCATATATATTTTAAAACCTAAGTCAGACGTGTCCAAGTTCAATTCATCGTGCTTGTAAGCAAATCAAAGAAATGTAGAGGATAACTATTTTCCATCAATGAGGCGACATAAATAGTAGATTAGTTTTCTTTTGCAAATATTAATCGATGACGCCACATTTTCTACAACGATTTCTTTTGAGCGATGAAGAGTAACTTAAGCTCTTAGCGGAAAATAAGAAAAGTAATTCAGAAAGAGATGCCGCAATCGTTCGGCAGTAGCATTTAAAGTTAGGGTAAGTCAAATAATGTGGTACTGATCAATGATTAAAAATACAAATAGCATCTGCAGTGATCCTTTATCACTGAAACAAGATCCATCAATTACCAATGCGGTAGCCAGTGAATAAAATCCAGCGATTAACTCCGTAGTCTCTGCCACAACTTAAAGGAAGCTGGATTCAAAATCTAAGGGTAAACGAAAGCGAGTAATTTCTAAAACAATGACAAAATTAACCACTACGCAAAATTGAAAATACCAAGCGAATGAAAATAACAGAGCACGAAATGAGGAAGATTAACCGGAGGAGTCACTTGAATCACTGGCTAACTATGAATTAATTTGTTGTTGATTGTCTATCCATGACACGACCATTAGCTAATCGTTACTTGACTGCCAGTGATTTACGGATCTCGGATCTCCTTCTTTTCATGCACAGTCCACATGTATTAACATGATGATAATTATGCGCATATTACGTGATTACGTTTAAATCATGTCGAGTTATTAGGCTGCGATTGGATTAAAGAAAATTAAGCCAACGTATGACACACTTAATTTCACAAAATTGAGGGAGATTACAGACGATAGGTTTAATTCATTTTAAACGACGTGTGTAAATAAGACATGACTCTGTCGATAAATACCAATATACATATCTACATTCTACAAATAATGGTTTAAAAGTTTTGTGCGCTCTTGAAATCAGCAAAGAGAGCAGGGCAATAGTTGTCAAAATCATACGCAGATACAAAATGGAAATAAAATAACATTTCATAAAACTTTTAACAACTATAGGTCGTTTTCAACGGCGGATTTATTAATTCAGGTGAATCTTCAAGAATAACGAAAGCAAGCGCACACCACCTTGGAATGAATTCGTTAACCCGTCACGGAGGGAAGCCACACAAAACCAGCATCAACACTTCAGTCTTCGTGTACAACATAAGTTTTAAATAGATAATTGGCATTTAAATTTTAAACCAGCCACATGAGGCTCTCAGAACAAATGTTGGAAAAAATGATAGAAGACAGTCACAAAGAATGCCGCTGGACCTTGAAGGTACCAAATATTTTCACACTTTCTTGGTGAGCTGTAGTTGTGAGCTGAGTAGATGGTAATCGCATGGCGGGATTTGGTTAGTCACTGGATGATCCTCCTAATTATCACCAGAGACAGAGTGTTCGATGGTGTCATGTCACGTGGCATTGCGCCTCATCACGTGACCTCACACTTTCGATCACGTGATCTGCAGTATGATCATCGAGCACGTGGGCTTGACAAGATTCTTATCAGTACGCACGTTTTTATTGGATATTTGGAATAGTTCCAGGGAACTCTAACGCTTTTGTCCAATAGAAATGCAACAAGACATAACAGACTAACAGTACATTTGAGTGCCTCTAAAGTTTAAAATCTCCTGTTGAGATCGTTCTTTGTAACTCAAAAGAGAGGAAGGTCAATGTTATGCGATGCAACGTAATAGTACAACGTATAGTACAGCTATGTCAACATATTTCAAACAAAAGGAATACCAGACATTTAGCGGTTTAGCCGGACTAAATACTCGAGAATTTGACAACAAAAGTGCTCATCAGTATTATACCTTAGCAAGCGAAATTGCGTGGCCGTCAAATACTGCCCTGTCCGACTCGAAGAATCTTGACAAATTGTTAGGATGAGAATAAAACAAAATCTAATCATTATAAGTGCGAAGTAGACGTGCGGTCTAATTATTGCCATGGTAAAAAAACACATCAGTGGTACGTTTTCTTTACTCTAGGGTAAAACAAGTATTACTATTAGCGACCAAGCTAGTCTCCAATTGGGATTGAAAAGGTGAAGGTATCGGCTAAACTTCATCATCCATGAAAAGGGCACGAGTGTAAGTAACCGCCCTGCATGTAACACAATTATCACAACATAATCCTGCACAAGAGCCGGACTAGTTACACGAATGAAGAAAGGGTTGTTAAGCTGTTTGCGGTTTGAAAACTAGCCCAGTAAATGGATGTATTATTATCTGCGGTAAGAGGTGTAATGTTCAGTAAGGTGGTAGGAGTTGTTGGTCTGTGGTGAGCACTCTTCTAATTCCCTTCCCACTCTTCGGACACCAAGTGATGGCTTGCACGGCTACAAGTATTGGTAAGAAGTAGCCTGTCTAATGACGATATGACGAGCCCGGCCTTCGTTAGCCCTCTTTCAAAGGCTGGAAACGTAGCTGTTGGCGTAAGATTTCAGTTTCTTTAAAATGTGAACCGCACGAAACAATGGACTTGACGTCCAGCTTAAAGCTGGAGGCAAAAATAGAGCAAACCAAAAGAGGAGTATATACGCAAACGTCTGATGACCTTACCCCTGAGCGATGAAACACTAAACAGTGAACAATGCAACTCAATGCAGCTGTCTACGCCACAACTATACAAATTCTTAGCAGCAGCCCAACAAAAGCTCAGCTCCACGAACATTAAGAGCAAGGATCGTCGTTCTCTAAACAAAATCTACTGAATATGAAGGGAGTAAATTTGCGAATACCAAGGACTTCTAATAAAATTACTTGAGTGATGACAAATCACATGTTGTTATATATGGCGAATTAATCCCATCTTTTAGTGCTATAAATCAAGCTTGTAGACAGTAATCAAATACTCAAATTACGTCTACCTGCCCTTGTCAAGTGATGGCCTAACAGTGCTCATATTATGCTGTGTAATTTTTCCAATTTCCCGAGAAACAGTCAGACGAGACAGATAGATGGTGATACAGAAAAGTTTAGAGGATATAACACTATTGTATGCACGGTAGGTTGTTATCAATAAAGGCGTATGTTAACAGTGTTTACTACTGACAAAAGGCCCGTAGTAAGAGGCTATAATACGTAATGATTATAAATGATGATGATATGTTTTTATGTTAATATATACATTGCGTCATTACATTCATTAATAAAGAAACAGGAATTTCACATCCTTAGTTGGGAGCCAAACACGATCGGAAGGATGAGTGTGCAATCGATATATAGTGGACAAAAGAGCTAACGATTAGAATCAAGCCTATAGAAAATGATCTAAAGG